TCCCAGCTACTTGGGAGGCTGTGGCGGAACAATTGCTTTAACTCAGGAGGCGGAGGTTACAGTGAGCCAAGATCACACCACTGCACTCCAGCCTGGGCAACAGAGTAAACCTGTCTCAAAAAGAAAGAAAAAAAGAAAACTTCTTAGTGTATAAAGGAGAAACCTGAATACGGAAGCAAAAACAGCATAAATGTCAACAGAACATATGCCAAAAGAAACTTTTGAAAATAATTTTATTTATGGTCTATTGGAGGTATAAACAAAGAAAGGGAGAAGAGAAGCTATAAACTAAGAGAGACTTAAGAGACATACAAGCTAAATACTACGTATGGATCTTGTTTGATTTCTAATCTGTAAAACCAAATGTGAAAAGAATTATGAGACAATGAGAAACACCTGAATACTCACTGCCTGCTATTAAGGAATCATTAGTTTCACAAGTGATACTGGTTTTGAGCTATGTTAAAGCAGAGTGGATTTTATCTTTTAGAGAAGTATAATGAAATAGATATGGAAGAAATTACATCTTCTGTCTGTTTTAAATCAATCCAGAGGTGGGAGAGGAACAATAGATTAAATAGACCATGTACTGATAAATGTTAAGGCTGGGTGATGAGTACATGAGGTCCATTCAATTCTCTACTTTTGTTTAAAATATACCATGATAAAAAAAAGTTTTAAAGGTCTATTGGTAACTAAGCTAACAGTATATTTATATTGTTTGTTAAACATGTGTTCAAAATTGAAAATAAGGAATCATCATAATTCACAAATCCCTTACCAGCTAGTTTCCAAGATGTGGAAAGATTGGAGGGGGGAGAGATATTGATAATAACTATCAATTTATTATCAGGAAATTAGAAAATTCTTAGAATCGGCCGGGCGCGGTGGCTCAAGCCTGTAATCCCAGCACTTTGGGAGGCCGAGGCGGGTGGATCACGAGGTCGAGAGATCGAGACCAATCTGGTCAACATGGTGAAACCCCGTCTCTACTAAAAATACACACAAAAAAAATTAGCTGGGCATAGTGGCGCGTGCCTGTAATCCCAGCTACTCAGGAGGCTGAGGCAGGAGAATTGCCTTAACCCAGGAGGCAGAGGTTGCAGTGAGCCGAGATCGCGCCATTGCACTCCAGCCTGGGTAACACTAGCGAAACTCCGTCTCAAAAAAAAAAAAAAGAAAAGAAAATTCTTAGAATCCTGACATTGGCAAAGTCAATAAACTAAATGAGTTACAGTAAAATAGCCCACAACTCCACTACATTCCATTATACAGTCCCTTGTTTTAAAAAATTCTCAGCAACATGGAATACTTATCTATGTTTTTAAGGTGGAAAATAAAACTATAGAAAAGCAAAAGGCATCACCATAAGCTGGTAAGTAATGCTGCCTTTTGAGAAGGAAAAAGTTGATTTTAAAAGACTAAGATATATGAAAATTTGAAAAGAAAAACGTGATTGATATTAGTATTTTTCTTCATTAAGGAGTTACTTCACAAACACCTGCTGTGAAATAATATATTAAAGTAAAATCAAATAAATGTCTCGTATTGTGTTAAACATTTCTTGAACAAATATTTACTTTGTTAACACAAAGACATTAACCTTTAGAGTTACCTAAGTGTCTTCTATGTGTAAATGGTTCCAACAGCTTCAGTAAGAAATACTACTGAAATTAAATCTGCTAATAATGAGGTAAAAATGAAAGAAAACTATAAAAACACAGAAACTATACTGAGATACCAGAAAAAAACAGCATGATGGGATTGACAACTTGGACAATAGATGCTGCAGGCTCTGCTGCTCACTTGGGAAGTAAAAAATTCTAGGCCTCAATTTTCCACCAATAGAAGATCATAGGTTAGTTTCTCTCTCTCATAAAGACTACATTTGCAACTAGGCATGACCATGCGATAAAGTTTTAGTGAATGCATTGTGCGTTAGCATCCAGATAAATCTTTAAAAAATAACATGCACACCTTTTGCCTCTTTTTCTCCGCATTCTAGACATGATGCTGCCAGGGATAGCTAGAACACTAGCAGCCATCTTGGAAATGAAGTTTTATCTTGTTTAAGCAACGATTATTTTAGGTTTTTGTTTTGTTTTATTTTGTTTTGAGATAGCGTATTACTCTGTTGCCCAGGCTGGCGGGAGGTGGTCCCAGGTTCAAGCAATGTTCATGCCTCAGCCTCCCGTAGCTGGGATTACAGGTGTGCAGTTCTTCTGTAACTTGAAAACAAACTTAACCCTAGATGGTACAAAACTACATTCTTACACTATGTTACCTTGAAATTAGTCAGTTACTCAACAATAAAGTAGTAAATGAAAAATAAAATACTAGAAGGAGAGCATCCTAGAAGGAAGGGAAAAATCACGATAGTATTTTTACCATTTTCTTCACAGAGAAAAGGATTTAATGTTTTGTCATTGTTGTTTTCCCTTAACAGGGGTAGTTAGCATGTTTAGTATAGGTAGTGTCATTCTGTACATTAATTATTCCCTCATTCTTTCATTTAGCAAATATGTATTAAGCATCCACCATGTGTGATGTACTAAAGTAACTGCATAAGATAGAAAGGATCCCTACATTAATAAAATTTACATTCTAGTGGAAAGGTGAAAGGTAGCAGATATTTAATGAGGGGGAAAAATATATAACAACTACCTATTCTTCCACTGAGGATACCTACTCATCAAAAATATAAATCAACTATGATTAAGTTCTTTCATTAAAATGAAGGCTCTGAATAAGAACTAGAACAATTTGACATTTGTTAAAATTAGGTACACTGTGTCTATGAACCTTTATTTGTGAAGTGTTTTATTCATGTTTTAGTCCTCTATGGGAAAAAATTCCTGATATTTCATGATCCCAACAAATTGAACTTTATTTTTACAGAATGAAATTCAACACAGAATTCACAATGACACACAAAATGAGTTTTGGAAGAAATATAATCAAGGAACTCTAAAGCTAATTGAACCTATAGGAACAGAGATAATCTGGTAATATAAAGAAATTATTAGTCAGTCAACAAAAGGAAGTAAAAATTTGGATGTCTAAATAAAACACAGAAAGTCAGATTATAAAAAGTCCAGAGAAATTTCTAAATCTGCCCAAATATCAATGAGCTCTGTACTCAAAATTAATATTTAAGAATAATTGGTTGTAAATATGGAGATTAACGTAAATGGGCATGAGATGACGTACTCGTGCTAAATGATCTACGTACAACACACACTGTAGCTGGATTTCAAATCTAGCTAGAAGACATAACACAATGACAAACAGTATAAGCTGGACTGGTAAAGAAGAACATGTCACCTAAGGGTAAAAAAACAAGTCACCTACAACTGATGTTTTTGTTATGCACTGCGGCATACTAACTTTAAAAACAATGGTTTTAGTAATTTCTCCAATAGATCTCTACAGATCAGAAGTTAGTACAGATGCAACTTTCCATGAAAGGTGGTTTAGCAACTTCAGGTATGAATCTCTTGAACCAGAAATTTCACAGGGTGACATGCAAAGGAAAGCCATAGTGAACTATCTGTAGCAAAATATGCATATATAAGCTATGATACACTCTTGATACAATAAGCACATATGCCAAAATTATAGCATAATTTAGGAAAAGAAAAATGTAAAATATATTGCAAATATATATTTATGATGAAGTGTGATTTCAAGAAAAAGTGTTTCCAACATCTATAACATATTACAGTATGTTAGTATTATGGGATTAAAAAATTAATCTATGATGGGGTATCCTTCAGATAAACATATCTGAATCCCAAAGGATTCAAAATGATTATTACAAATATTAAGATTTCATTGTGTCAATATGCCTTTATACCCAAGTGTTGACTAAACCAGTAACCTTCATAATCTGCTGTTTATTATTTTTTGTAAAACTGAATTGATGGTTGAATTGAAAGAAGCCCATGTATTACAAAAAAGTATACGTGTCACAAAACCTGGTGATATTACCTACTGTCAATGTTTGATCTCAACAGAAGTAAAGATCAAGGACAGCAATTTTCTCTGAAAATGAGTCTTAAAGAACAGAGACTAAGTCTACTTAATAAATAGAAAATAGATTCTTAATCTAGAGTCCAAGATTTAGTACAGGGAACCCAACAACATCCTGAAGATTTATGTACAGTTCTCAGTGTTGGCTTTCATCAGATTTTTGAATGAGTATGCGATCTAAAGAAAGAATTAGTACACCGAGGAGTGTGATGGTCTTACTGTTAGCAGAACAACTTCATAAGACCTTAAGTTACTCAACAGCAAACACATGAATAATAGTAACTCCACTGCCAGAGAGTTATACCCTATATTTTCCTACTCCTAAAGATGTTTCAAAAACAAAAACAAAAACCTCCAAAGGTGCCATCAAAAGCCAAGAAATGTTAAGGTTTTAGAAAACTATATGGGATTTTTCCATCGCAGTTAAGACTACAGGAAAATCATGAGTTAGTTTCACCATTAAAGAGAGAAGACAATGACACTTATTTCTCCAGGTATCCCTTTATAAAACCTCTTCCCCATTCCAAGCTCAAATAACAAACTACGTAGAACATCTCAGATATACCCTCTCAGAATCTTAAGAGTGAAATCCAAATGCCACTCCCCCCTGAGAGAGGCAGCAAACAGGTTCCTCCCAATTACAACAAAGTGAGTAAAGCTAAGGCCTGCAATTAGAAATGAAGGATTCTGTCCATCTGCTAAAATAATAAGGGAGCTTTGTCAGTCTTGTCTGATGGAGCTGGAGGGAAGGGTGACAAGAGGGGTTGCACAGGATAGGCCTCAGATCTTACTCAAGAAATGCAGCCCTACCAGATCGGTGCGGGTATGAGAGAGCAACTCAGCAGCAGAGGTAGGTGCTAAAGGTAAGACCTGAACCTCCTGGTGAGGAGCGACGTGGCATTAAGCAAACAGTGCTTCGTTCCCCCCCACACCCTGCTTCCGCCCAAACCATTTTCCCCTTTGGTTACCAGTTACTCCAGATGCCGTAGAGTAGTTCCACAAAAGCGAAAGAGAGGTTCAGGCACAGGAAGAAAAACAGGTTCCGGGACGTTTTGTCGGACAGGATAGACCTGGGCATGGTACACGTGGAAAAGAGCCGGGAGAGTTAAGGAGGTGCCAGGACCCCGAGACTGGGTACCTTTTTCAAGACCCTCCCAACTGACACGCTCCTTTCCTCACATCTAGGGGTTGAAGGGGAGTTTCTGATGCTCCCTCCCTGGACCTCGGGCCATCCTGAGGTCTGGGCCTTCTCCCTTTCTGCCGGACACCCCCTCCCCGCAAACACAGCACCCCGCACCTAAACCAGCCCGAGATCTTGCCGAACAAATTGAACTTGGGTGGTTTGTATTCATCGTCCTTGATGGACAGGGGCAACATCTTCTCTGCCCGGCGAAGGGCCGGGTCTACTCCCTTCTAGAAGTGGTTCCGTGGGGTGATGGCAGTGATAGTAGAGACGCCTCAGACGGGAGTCCCCGGCGCTGGTCCCGGCCCGCGCGCCGCTGCTAGACACAGACAGACCCAGACACACACACCCGGGAACTCGCTTACTTCCGGCCCGGGCCGCGCAACGCGTCCTGGGACTGGAAAGGAGGGAGGCCGGTCGCGGGCGGGGCCTGCGCGGCGGTGGGCGGGGTTTGGGGCGGAGGGCGGGGCTTACGGCGGGGGCGGGGTGGGAGAGGTGTTGGAGCTGTTGAGGGACGCTAGGTGGCAATTGCCAGGGGGTGTGAGGTGGTGACCTGGGGTGGAGTCCTGCCACCTGGATTTAGGAAGAAAATCCTAAGGCGGAGACCTGCAGACTGGGCTGGCGCGAGATAGAGAGCCCGCTCACGCCCACCGGACCGCCTACCACCAGTGTTCCCGGATGCATGTGCTCCAGCGCCTGCCCTTTCGCCATTTCCCCCCATTGGCATTAAATCCTGGTGTGGTAGATATCAGTGATTAAAAGTCTAGACAGCTACGCGTTCTATTGCCGCCAGTCTGCAGGAAACGGCAAGTCATCGTTTTCTGCGTTAACTCTATGGGCGCCCAAATCTTAGGAATCCATTACACGCCACCGCCGAAACAGCGCTTGACCTCCTGGACTGCCACACAGGAGGCGATCAACGTTTTTCTTTCTTCCTTATTTTTTAAAGAGACAGGGTCTCGCTTTGTCACCCAGGCTGGAGCGCAATGACAGGACCAAGGCTCACTGCAGCCTGGAACTGCTGGGCGCAAGTCATCCTTCCTCTTCAGCCTGGGAGTAGCTGGGAAGCAGGGCGCGCGCCACCACGCCTGGCGTCAATGTCTTTCAAAATAAAGGTTGTTAAACGTACGAGGCAGGAGAATTGCCTGAACCCAGTAGGCGGAGGTTGCGGAGCCGAGATCGCGCCATTGCACTCCAGCCTGGGTAACGAGAGCGAAACTCCGTCTCAAAAAAAAAAAAAAAAAAAAAAAAAAGAAGCTTTTTACTGATAGGTCCTACGAGACGTGCATGATTTTTAGGTTTGGTTAATTCATTGTTTCCCCTACAATCTCAACCCGCGGAAACCCCGAAACTCGAATTCGTGCAGGTCCCTTTCGCTTCCAGGTCACCCCCGGGGCAGCGACCGCGGCTCTAATTCTTTTCAGAACCTCCGGGCCAGTTTCAGAAACGTGAAGGCAGAAGCTGGCGCCTCTGTTGGATGTGAGGGTGTGCGGAGCGCGGGGAGGGGAGCCCCACTGGCCTTTCCCGGGCACCCGGGGTCGACGGGAACACTCCTTCGGGCACCTTTCCGGGAAGTTGTTTGGCTGAGGGCAGGTGGTCCGTCACGTGAGTGATTAAAAGTTGTTACCTTGGAGAAGAAATGGGGGAAAGGATTGGCGTTCGGAGGTGGGCTGGAAACTACAAAACCGAGCTTCTTGGGAATGCCTTTTAGGCTAACAGGAAGTGGAGCGTCACCGAAAGGGAGGGGCGGCCACTCGGGGACTGTCCCCTGCTCCAGGCGCTCACTTTGCGGGCGGCGCTTTTTCCAGGTTGTTAATTCAGCGAATAGTGAAAGGTAGATGCAAGCTGCTTGATTTAGGAAAACAAAAACAAAAACAAAAATGAGCAAACGAGACGCCCCTTCCGTTTTTTGATAACCAAGCTGCATGGAAACGAATCGGCTGGCTCTACTGCAATCTACTGCACTCGAGGTAAGACAGCAAAATTCTCCAGTGTTAACATTTTTTTTTTTTGCAATGAGGATATATACATGGTTTGTTCTCGTTCTTGGAACTTTGTGTGCCTGCGTGGTGTAGTAATTAAGTGGTTGTATTTTTGAAAATATGTACTTACTCTACAATTTTGAAAAATGTTCATGTTAATTAAAACTGCTGTGTAAAAACAGCTAGGTATCAGAAGTAAGTTCTGAGAGGAGTATTTTATCTTTGCCTTTGTTACCGTATATTTCATTATTTTAATTTAAATGTAGAAATATTTAAAACTAGTAGCGTTTACTCTTTTTTTGGAAGGAAGTTTTTGTATTAGCAGTAGACCTTGAATCTTACTCTGCTGCACTGCTGAGGAAAAAATAATTGGGTGCAAACTAGATAGTTTAAAGATAAATAATTCTATGGTAATTGCATTTTTCTCGCAAAGTCTTTATTGGATATGATTTAACTTGGGGGACAGACGGCGAAGTACATAGAAATAAATTTTAGCAACTGATTTCCAGCATAATCCTAACTCATCAAGGTCAGCTGCATTTTGAACTTAGGTTTTGGTATTCTGTCTTTAAAAATAAATCCTATATTTTATACTGTATTGCTACAAATCAGAAATTGCTTAACTGGTTTATGGAGAAACCTAAATTACCCTTTTTCAAATAGTTCTGAAATAGGTACAAGAAACTGAAGTTTAATTTCAGTTACAGCAGTTTCCAGAGACTCCCAAATTCCCCCACTTCCTACCCCCAAATATACATGATAGGTATTCCCATGAGGACCTTCTCCTTTCAAAAAGTGACAGTGATGTCTTCACATCTTTCAGTCTTGAAGAGCATAATGACCAAATTTAAAACTAAAGACATTTTATTTGCAATATAAAAGTGTAGGTGGACACTATTTAAATCAGGAAAAGTTCTATGAGTGAAAAACGTTAGGATGTGCCTCACTTCTTTTGTCATTGTGAAATACTGTTTGTCCCATATATGTTAACTTATCTTTGTTGTCATATCAAAGTTTGTTTCATTCATTCAACAGTCATTTAATGAATGTCTACTACGTGCCAGGCTCCATGCTGGGCACTGGGGATACAAAGCCAGATAAGTCAAAGTTCTTTCCCTGGAGGAATTTTATGGAGGTGAGAAGTTGTGAAGAGAGGGGTGTTTTGACAGGCAAATCAGCCCAGTATTTTAGAACTGTGTGATGTTTAAAATTTACTCAAGGGATGCCCTTGGAGCTGTGTGGAGGGACACCTAGCAGTCAGTAAGTCTTTCTATATATACTAAGCCATTCCTTTTGCCTTTTCAGTATGTTGTATTGGAAAATCAAAAATGATTCTTCAGCTCTGTTCAAACGGTCAGTGTCTTGCAAGTCACCAATCAGAATTCTTAATTCCTTTATATGTTACAAGATTGAATACGTTTATAGGATCATAAAATAGATATACTAATGAACATTTTAAAACTAAAAAATGGATTTCTACCCTGAACTTTTAAATATGTTTTTATATCATCTCCTACCATCTAACATTAGGTTAGCTATGCAGACTCTATGGGTGGAAAAACCCGAGCTGCTCAGATATGTGATTGAGGATTCTGAGAAATGAAAGCAGAGAGAGTTAAGTGGCAGAAGCTCATCTCAGTCATGGTTCCAGCTCCTTTTGGGCAATCGTCTGCAAGAAATGAGAAAGTGCTATCTGTCCTTCCTCAGTAATCAGCCTTGGCATTTATCTGCAACCCTGTTTGCCCCTTTTAGATACTTCAAATTGAGTGCCCTGGGAACTGTTGGTGAAAAAAGGAGTTGTAAAGGTACATAAGACTACAAATTCTTATGAATCTAGAAATTGGATACAAATGCATATTGCTAACATGTTCAGATGTTTTTCTCATGTCATATATCCTCTGGTTTCAAATGTGGTGTAACATTAGGTAGTTGGGATCATGTGCATTTATTTTGCTTCTGGACCCTCGAATTAGGATTCTCTAGAGGGACAGAACTGATAGCATAGATGTATGTATGAAAGGGAGTTTATTAAGGAGAACTGACTGAAAGAATCACAACTTGAAGTTCCACAATAGGCCATCTGGAAGTTGAAGAGTAAGCCAGTAGTGGCTTAGTTGGAGTCCCAAAATCTCAAAGGTAGGGAAACCGACAGTTGGAGCCTTCAGTCTGTGGCCAAAGGCCTGAAAGCCCCTGAAAATCCACTGGTGTAAGTCCAAGAATCCAACAGTCAAATAACCTGGAGTCTGATGTTGGAGGGCAAGAAGCAACCAGCACAGGAGGAAGATGAAGCCCGGAGGACTCAGCAAGTCAGCTTCTCCCACCTTCTGCCTGCTTTTCCTTGCTGTGCTGGCAGCCGATTGGATGGTGGCCACTGGGTCTTCCTCTCATAGCCCACTGACTCAAATGTTAATCTCTGCTGGCAACACTCAGTAACACCTAGATATACCTAGAAACAATACTTTGCATCTTTTAATTCAATCAAGTGGACATTTAATATTAACCATCGCAAGTCTACCCCTTGTCAACTTAAACCCATACACATTTCTTGAAATCATACCTAATCTCCAAGTAAATGAAACTGCCTTTGCAAAAAATATAACTGAGGAAATTATGACAGTGAAAGATAGCAGATCTAACCAACTCCATCTTTCTTCAAAAGCTCTAAACTGTCCTTGTTCATTCCTTTGGAAGGAACTTAGTTTATAGTTTAAATAATAGCCCCTCCCAAAAGCTAAACTGTTCTTGTAAAAATGATTGAAAGGCCAGCAGCTACCAAGTTAAGATGAGAGGGGTTAGAATTCTAAATATTACTAGCTATTATTCCAGAGGTCATAAAATTTGCAACTTCTCTAATTACTCTTGAAGATAACATCACTATTGTGAACCTAAGATTGCCCTTTTGAGATGCCTTTTCAGGTTTTTCATTTCTCATAACTGAATGGCCCCACCTGGATGTGCCAACCAGATCTATAGCCCCCACCCTGGAGCAACATAAAAGGACGGCTTCGACTCCCTAAGATTTCATACACAAGCTAAATCAGTACCCCCAATTCACTGGCCTACTACCCACCAGATTATGCTTAAAAACTCCGATCCCTGAGTTTTACAGGAGGTTTATTTGAGTAGCAATAAAAACTCTGTTCTCCTGCACAGCCAGCTCTGCGTAGATTACTCTTTCTCTATTGAAATTCTCCGGTCTTGATAAATCCGGTCTGTCTTGGCAGCAGGCAAGGTGAACCCATTGCATGGTTACATAAAAGCAATCGTATAGTCACAATTATGCCTAACAATACAGCTATCCTTTATACAACCAGAAGCATGCTAATCCTTAACTTAAATGCTATTACATAAAGATAACAACACTTAAATGTTGATATGATGTCAATAAATGTCACATGATATGTATCATGTGATACA